CCATTCAATTAATCTATGTCTTTTAGCTGGGGAACTGAGGTCATTGATATATAGAGTTATTATTGACAGGTATGGATTAGTTACTGCCATTTTACTTTCTGTTTAAATTCTTGTCTTATTTTTGGGTTTCTGTGCTTCATACCTTCATTTGTTTCCTTTCTGTAACAAAGAGTACAAGTACAGGCATCTCTTTCTTCAGTCCTTTGTATTGCTTCTATTACTGTCTGTATGGGTTTGGTAACATGAATCCTTTTAACCTATTTGTATCATAGAAGTTTTTTTCCTTCCTTTTCAACCATGATAGACAGTTTTGTTGGGTAAAGTATTCTGGGTTGGCATCTATGGTCATTTAGAACCAGGATACTTTGCTTCAGGTTCTTCTGGCTTTCATAGTTTGCATTGAAAGTCACCTGTAGTTCTGATGGATTTTTCATTATATGTGACTTGTTTTGTTTTGTTTTCTTTTTCTAGAAGCTTTCAGTATTCCCTCTTTGTTCTGTAAATTTAGCCTTTCCACTATAATATACTGTGGGGAGTTTGTGTTCTGGTTCCATTTAATTGGTGTTCTGTATGCTTCTTATATCTGCATAGGTATGTTTTTTCCTTAATTTAGGGAAACTTTCTTCTAGAATCCTGTTGAACATCTAGTCACTGCCATTCACCTGAGAGTCTTCTCCTTCCTGTATACTTCTGATGCATAGATTTGGTCTTTGGTCTTTTCATAGTGTTTCATATTTCCTGCATATTCCATTTCTGTTTTTTTAACTTTTTTTCATATTCTCTACTCGAGCAGTCCAGTTCCTCAACTTACCATTCAGTCTTGGTATTCTGTTTTCCATTTAATTCAGTCTGCTTCTGATGTTTTCTCCTGTCATTTTAAACAGGCTTATTGAATTGTTCAATTACATCTTCATCTTGAGTTCATCAATATTTCTATCTCTTTTGAGAATTCAGTTTTCAAGTCCTGATTTTTTTTTGTCATTTAATTCAGCTATATATTCGTATTTTTGATGAGCTTCAGTTAGGAGTTTATTCCTATTCTCTTTAAATTCTTTGGGTTGTTCATGTGTTCTTTAAAGTCATTGTATTTTTTGATCATGCTTATGATTGTTCTTTTAAATTTTGCATACTGGAGTTCTTTTGTGTGGTTCTCATTGTAGTACCCTTCTATGGGACTGGTGGGTTTTGATAGGGACATATTCTCTTGTTTTTTTCATATTGTGTTTTTGCATTATGGTTTGAGCATATGAATAACTTTTGTGTGTTGTATGTCTGATATGAACTTCAAGTCTGCCTTTATTTAAGTTTGGTTCTGTTTGTATTGTTGATATAGGTTGGTTTCTTTCTGGTTGGGTATGAATAGTTAATTGGCCTGTGCATCTGGTTCTCACTTTTGTCTTTTTGTTAGTGGGACTGGATGGTTCCAAGCTGATTGGTTAAGAGCCCTCCAGCAGGACAAAGGGGCCCATTTCAAGATTATGGTAATCAAGCGACTGGGTTCTGGCAGGCTAGTCAGGAGGTCTTAGGAAGATCAGGACAGGGCTTAGGGTCAAGGCAAGGGTAGGGACAGTATGGGGGAGTCTAACAAGTTATTCAGAGTAAGTGTGGGCCCTGAAACAAGTGAATGTAGCTAGTGTGGGTGAAGGGAGGTCAAGAGGCAGTGGGCTAGGCCTGGGTTAGGAGGCTGGTCCAGAGGCCTCAAGCTGGAAGAGTAGGAGTGGACCTAGGCCCAAAGCTGAAATGGAGACAGTGTCGGGAGAGCAAATGTAACTGGTCAGGGTGCAGGGGAATCAAGCCACAGTGGGTGGGCTATTTATTATTTTGAGACAGGGTCCCAACTTCCAGGGCTCCTCTGCTCTCAGCCTCCTGAATGCCAAGATTACCAACTTGAGGTAACAAACTCCTACAGAAGATAATTTTTAAAAAATTGTTTTAAAAGTCTGATGACATGGCAATGTAGAATTTATGTTTATAGAGCAAAGAACGCCAGAGTTGTTAACTATTGATTAGGGAAGAAATATTTTCAGTACATTTAGCAGATGAAGATTAATGACCTCAATATAAACAATTCTGAAAACTGATAAGAAAGAAAAAAAAAACAGTATCACAGAACATTAACAAGGTTATGAGCAGCAAAATGTAATTCCTTTAAAAAGAAATTAACTCTAAATGATTAATACACAGAGGACTGTCTGAGAAAAAATAAGCCTGATTGTGCTACTGCAGATCAAAAATTTAAGACAAGAGTAACATCTCGACTAAGAAGCAAATGATTTCTTATTAAGTGTTTGAAAGTGATCTTTTTCTAAACTTTAAGTTTTGCCCCACATAATGCCAACTATTTATGTGTATAAAGCCTCAGTAAACGGGATGTGGTAACACACCACCCTCTGGGTAATCCCACCCTCTGGGGGCCAAGGCAGGATGGTGGTGATTTAGAAGCCAGTCTGGGCTACAGTCTCGAGAACGAAACAAACAAAACATTCATAATAATGACCAACAGGAGAACAGGACAGCCCTGTTTTTTAAGTGTTTGACTGTCTTCCCTGATGCATCCTTCAAGCACTACCAGGCAATAAATTAAAATTAAGAATATTGGGTGGAATAAGTGATGGACACTATGGCAAATTATGGAGATGATGCAAAGACTGAGTAGGACCTTTATCCTTTAGTCTGAGAAATAAGGTGCCTAGGAATTAGAAAAACAAGTTTTACAATGTGTTTACAGTGCAAGCCCCTTTGTGTGACTGTGAGTGTGTCCATGTGGGTGGAGACAATGAAGACAGACTATGCAAAGATGTTGACAGGAACCCCTGAGAAAGGAAAGCAAAGGGGCTTATTCACATTTTCTTGTGATCTTCAAATTATTTCAAAGTTAAAATACATTGCCTTGAGCCTTAGGTATAAGGGTTGCACTGTAGATGTGTCACTTAGGCCTAAGCAATTCATAGACAATGTGTGTGACCAGTTGTAGTACTTGGTAATAGTCTCCAACTGGTACAAAATGAGCTTCTTTGATGAGTGGTGCCTGGGATATTTGTCTGTAAATATAAGGATGCATATTTTGCACATAGTAAGAAATCACATTGGTCTAGAAATGTGACAGTCTTGGGGTTTTTTCCTAAAATATGATCACTCCAGCCATGTGTATTTGGTTGTTTACAGTACCACACTTGAGTTTCCTCCCATTAAGTGGGCTTTTATTCCAATTACTAGCTGTCGATTCCATGGCAATGGTGTCAGCATACACAAGTCCCATGCAAACTCAGGCAGACAAAAACACAACATAGAACTGGGAAAATGAACAGCAGACCCCAATCTTATCTGAAGGAATATTGGCAACTGATTGCTGCTAGGTGAGGAAGAACTCATCTTCCTAAAACAAGGGACTCTAGATAAACTGACTAGCCTTCAGTAGATGGACTTGCACTGGGAAACATCTGGAGACACTGACTTGACACAGTGGGCCTTAACACGAGTCACAGAGTATATGGGTTCCAGTGGAAGGCCAGTGGGGATGGGGGTATAAAGATGATTAAGATTGATTGAGGTATTCTGTATGAAATACACTAAATTCAATAAAAACAAATTTTAAAAAATACATTGCCTTCTTGTGTTTTCATAGAAATGAAATACCCATCAAAAATAGAGAGGTAATAGAACCAAAAAGCATGGTAGGCTTCAAAAGTTGTGCTGAGTCCTCATATCTAAAATAATCAATTATTGCTTTTAATGTTCCATTTTTGAGGCAGTGGTCTTTTTGAGACAGGGTCTCCCAGCTGGCCTGAAATTCACTATGTAGACCCCGCTGGCCTCAGTTTCACAAAGATACATCACCTCTGCCTCATGCTAGGATTAAAGGCCTGTACCCAGCAATGTTCCATTTTTTTCTTTTTCTTTCTTTCTTTTCTTTTTTGTTTTCTTTTTGAGACAGGGTCTCCCTGTAGCCCAAGATAGTCTGAAACTCACCATTAAACCAGGCTGACCATGATCTCACAGAGATCTGCCTGCCTCTACTTCCTGGGTGCTGGGATTAAAAGCATGCACCACCATGCCTGATGTGTGTTCCATTTCTTAATATGCTATTACTAAAATTCATTTTCTCTACATTTTCCAAACAGTAGCAGGAAAAATTCTTTCTGATATTCAGTATTTACTCAGAAAAAGAGAATTGATTTCTTTTTCAATAAATTATGCAATATATTCTAAGAGGAATGTATTATAACTAATCCTGGAAGTCACCCTTGTGTTCATTAACTAGAAGTCAACATAATCTTGAATATTTTAATTCCAATTACAATTTTTTTAAGTTGAGAATAATTACCGTCAGGGTTATTTGTGCACTTTATATTATTGCTATTTGTTACAGTAAATTTATAGCACTTATATGAGAAATTGAAAGATAGAATGAATAGTAAGTCATTATTAAGTCATTAATATGATTTATACAAACATACACAAATAACGTACTTGGTAAAGAACCTCAATTTCTCTGCTTGTTGTGTACTTCAAAATATATTATCAAGTGGTAGATAATAAAGAATAGTACTCACAAACATTACTCAAGTGTGGAATGTCTTTCTGATTGTCTAAGGTAGCTCTGGTCTTTTGTGTTGTACTTCGCATGTCCCAAACACATCTTTTTTTTTTTTTTTTTTAATGTCTGAGGCTTGAGAGATGGCTCGCTGATTAAGAGTACTTACTGCTTTTTCAGAGGACCAGAGCCCAGTGCCCACACTGGGCAGCTCACAACCACCTATAACTGTAGCTCTTGGCTATCCAGTGCCTTCTTCTGATCTCCACTGGCACAGACACACAGGTACACACACACACACACACACACACACACACACAAAAATAAAATGAATCTAAAAAAATTCATTCTTAGTGGAGCTTTTTAGCTTATATAACAATGGCTGGAATTTGTGCACTGATAAATACATTAAAAAGTTAGGGGAGTATAACCTTGGATGTCAGTTTCAGTGTGTTTGCTCCTATAGGTGGCATTTACAGTCCTTTTTGACTTGGAAGCCCTCCTGAAGATATGGTGTTTGGGATTCACTGGATACATCAGCTCATCTCTCCACAAATTTGAACTACTGCTTGTCATTGGGACTACTCTCCATGTGTATCCAGGTCTTTACCATTCTCAATTCACATACTTTCAGGTAAAGAACAGTCATGTTATTATAACAATGATACGGAACAATAGTATATGTATATGTGCATGTACATGTATATTAATATGAAATTGAGAGAAGCTCAGTGATATCTTACCTCTCAGAAACAGTGCATTAGCAAATTATAATTATTGTTTTAAAACCACTGAAAATTCACAATAAATGAAAATTAGCAGCTCCAAAATTAGCAATATATAGATATATATTTTCATATGCATATACATAGCACATATCTATTCAAGAACAGTAAATTTTAAGCTAAACAAGCTTTGAGGATTAGGTATGAGTTTAATTCCAAATGTTTATTCCCTTGTGAATATCCCTGTTCAATAATAATTTCTAAAGAATGTAATAAGGATTTCTAAAATGACTTTAGTCATATATTAATTCATCATATATTATTATTTATAAAGATTTGTTTCTTTGTTTTGTTTTGTTATAGCTAAATAATGGTACTTGCAATTCTTATAACAACTAGATATCTATTTTTTCTAATGTGATATATTTCAAATGTCATATATTGAATTACATTGCTTTATAATTACTTGATAAACATTAATTATTAGCTACAGTTTATAATTTTAGGTAAAAAGAAATATGCTCATTTACTGTTAAATTCTTGGTTAAAATGATAAAAACAGTATGCAAATGTAACATCCTAATCAAAAACATTTCAAATGCAGTCATATTTCTGACTCACATTTGTATAATTTATCATGGGAATATCTGAATATGCACAGGGATTTTCCCAATACATATTTAAATACTTGAGGAATTAAATGGCATTAGAATTTTAAATATTAACTTAGAGAAATGCGATTTGAATTCCTTAGAATGAAGAAAATACATTCCAACCTCATTGATTTTACTTATTGGTAATAACAACTGTATCATATTTAGAACAATAGCAGCTTTAGCTTCCAAAACACAACTTTTAACTCGATATAAGATTAGAGGAAAGGACTTGAAAACATAACCCACAGAAATGAAGGGCAAATGCCATATACATCCAGACGTAAAGCTGAACCTCTAGGAATCAGAGACTATTAAGATCACAGAGGGTGGGGCTATAGACATGGCTCAGTGGTTAACAGCCGGCTGCTCTTACAGAGGACCCAGGTTTGGTTCCCAGCACCCACAGAGCAGATAACAACCTTTCATATCTCCTGTTCCAGGGGATCTAATGTCCTCTTCTGGCCTCTGTGGGCAATGCATGTATGGAATGCAGTTACACACATGCAGCCAAACATACTCATACACATAAAAATGAATAAAAAAATTCTTTTAAAGGTCACAGACGGCTGTCACGGTTCAGGCTGTTCCTTTTCCTTACCATCTTTGGGCATCAATGCTTCATCATTTACAGGTTCTGTCCTGAGGCTTGGCTACCATTAGTTGTGCAATGGCTGGTACAAGAGTTGTAAACATGTCTTTAAAATCTTTTCAAGTGCATTCCAAATATAATGGCTAATCTTGGTTTTCAACTTGATTGGACTAATAAGCACCTAAGAGATTATTAAGGCACACCTCTGGGTCTGTCTATGTGTCTGTGAGGGCATTTCCAAAGAGGATTAAGTAGGTGTAGGGGGGCTGTGGGCTGTAACATCGCTTGGTCTAGGGGCCCAAATGGAATAAATCACCACTATGGACTGAAACAACGCAAACTGTGCCCAAAATAAATACTTTCTCCCTTATCTTGTTTTATTCAGGTTTGGGGGTTGTCCTGTTTTGTTGTGTTGTTACAGCAAGAGAAAATTAACAAGCACACTAAACATGCATGTCATTAGTTGTTCTTACAATCAACTTGATTTGATTTGAAAACTCAGCATAAGCATTTTGTATCTACTTCAGGGTACATAATATAGACAGCATGCCTACTAGTTAAAACAATGAAGTTTCTTGATTATAAACTACAGATAAAAAGATTCTAATGAGAATAATATTAGCCAGAATTCCAGACACTGAGGAGGAAATATTGCCATAAGTTTGAAGCCAGACTAGTAATGTTTGCTATGAATTAGGCTCAGAGGTTTGTTATAATGGCTCAGAGGTCAAGAGCACTGGCTTCTCTTGCAGGGGACCTGGGTTTGATTCCCAGCACACACATGGTGACTAACAACCATCTGTTACTCCAGTTGCAGGGGAATCTGACACCCTCTTCTGACCTCCATGGGCATTGCAGAACATGAGTACAATTGCATACATGGAGGCAATACACTCATACACATAAAAAATAAATTAAACATTGCTTAAAAAGAATTAGGAAAGTAGTAGAAACTAGTAGCTAACCCATACAGCATGATACTAATTCAAGCAATTTCATCTCTCACATCAGTTTTCTCAAGGATTAGGATTTTAAACATACGTCTTCAAACTTAATGTCATGTGTCCAGTTAATTTACTTAACATATTACTCCAAACTACACATTCCTTCTGTAAACAGTAGGAATGAGAAGACTCGCCCTCACAATTTCCCACTGTATCAAAGGTTAGGGAGGTAGGTGAGGTTTCATGTACAGCAAAATTCAGAGGTCAAGGAGTTGTCAGGCTTCTAGGGATGCTATATGTTTCTTCACTCACTTTTGTGTTGACTTCATTCTTAAGGAGTCTCATTCCATGTGGATGGCCCCATAACTCAGGCCTATGGTTTTGACAGCAAAGCCTACTGGAAATATTTTTAAATAGCACTTGTGTATGGGGACTTGCAGAGTAACTTCTGAATCTCATGAACTAAGCACAGAGTAGACGTGACTTAACAAAGGAAAACCAGAATCTTGGGAAGCTAGGGAGACTGTAAAAGTAAACACAAACCTGTCACTTTACAAATGCAAAAAAAAATTCTAATTTTAAGGTATACTTCTGTTCATCCTGTAATCCAAAGAAGATCCTCATCTTTCACAGAAAACTCAGTTGTGGATGGGTGTTGAGACATCTAGGACTACCCTTCCATGATGATGTTTCACTTATGCCAAAACACAGCTTCCAAATGTAATATTTCTAAACTTAAAATCTCTCATAATCAATGGTGTGTCAAATATCAGTTTGCAGCATTTTTTCTTTATTCCTTAAAGGTGCATAAAAAGTTGGTGACCTTACCTCATCATCTATGCTGCCTATTTCAGCTTTTACTTATATACCACTTTGTACTTTTTAATCACATAACGCATCCTTAAGAGCCGCATCTGCTTTATGCTCTTTTTGTAATAGTACCATTGAATAGTATCTGTTCAGTATGTTGGCACGTAGTCAATCATAATATTTTGAAAGGATGAATTAATTTGTTAACTACTTTTGGCAAGTTAAGCTGACCTAACAAAGATCTAAAAACACAGAAAGTTGTTTCTTTCCAATAGTTTATGGAATCCAGGGAAAACAGATTCCTCTCTTCTACAGGATCATCAAAAGATCCAGCCCATTAGGTTGGATCTGACCTGTCGTATTCTTTACAAGACTTCTGACTTTTGTCTATAGGTATCACTCCATCTGCTTGCAGTTTTAAACCAGAGGCAAAGGTAAGAAAGAAGCATGGACAAGTTTTCTTGTGCCCACAGTTGCACAAGCCTCTTGCTTTCATACCTGGTAAACCTGAACCTAGTTCATCAGACACATTCAGCTGCAAAGTGCAGGTACAAAGGCTGAAAAGCAGAATCTGTTTCCCTAGGAAAGTCACTTGGTGGGCTAAAACTTGGGAAATTCTATTATTTAAAGGAAGAAGAAGGAAAAAAGGTATTGGAGTAGAAGTTTGAGCCAACAGTAAAGACTTTTGACAGATTTTGATTTTCCCATTTCATTATGAATATGTAATACCTTGAAAGGTTTATTTTATGACACACTAAGGCAGGACTAATGTTGAGTTAAAGGTTTTTTTAGGTATTTAAGCATTAGGGAAATATCCATTTTATTTCAGCAGTATGTACTAGTTAATACCATTTTGAATGATCAGCTCGTACGTTAAAACAGTTACCAACGTTTTTCTTCACCCATTGACTCTAAACTTATGGTGTTCTTACTTTACAGCAGGCTGCAGGCTAGGGATGTTTCAGTTATTATATTGCTATTTTCAGTCCCTAGATAAAATGGGAAAAATGAGAGTTTTCCAAGGAGATTTTTCCACTGTGAAAACTGATGTTTGAGTATCCACTTCTTGAAGATTCTGTATCAAGCATGTTATGATTTTCTCTCTGATACTAGGTCCTTCGGGTAGTCCGGCTTATTAAGATTTCACCTGCATTAGAAGACTTTGTGTATAAGATATTTGGACCTGGGAAAAAGCTTGGGAGCTTGGTGGTGTTTACAGCCAGCCTGTTGATTGTGATGTCAGCCATTAGTCTGCAAATGTTCTGCTTTGTTGAAGAACTGGACAGATTCACAACATTTCCAAGGGTAAGAACTGAAAACGTAGCCAGCATAATTTGTTCTTCTTTCAGTAATCGTGATTAACATCAAAGTAATTTCATTTGATCCATGGTTCAAAAGCATTGTCATATTTTTGATAACTTGAAATAATTTAATTTTAGTATTTCTTCTTCAGACCAAAGGTGTTTTGAGAACATTTTCAGCACTGTCAGAGTATATGTCAATTCTAAAATTCTGGAAATAATAGTATTGGATGCCACAAAAATATCAGTAAAAAATAGGAATTCCTAGGGAGGGAGAAGAAAGCCAGATTTAGGACAGGCGCACAGGCTGAGCCATAAGGGGACAAAGTGGTCAGCAATGACAAGAAACCAGTGACAGTCACAGGAAAGCTTCTATTCACTCGCTGTGAAGTGCAGGCAGCAGCTCTGGAGGAGACAGAGGTAGACTGCATCCAGTCATAAAGCAGCACTCCATGTTGAGCTCTCTAGTGACTCGGTGGTTCCTTTCTACCTGATTACCCTACTTTCTTGATGAAAGCAGCTCAGCCCCTTATCAGTCACTGATCTGCTGCTGATGTCAGCATCCCGATCCATGAAGCCATAGGAAGGGAAAGGTATATCCTTGCACATGAGCAATATCGGAAGTTGCATCACTGAAAATGAGCTAAATTTTACAAGAAATGTTCAAAGTACTATAATTATAGGAGGGAGTCATTGCCACTCCCAATCAAATGGATCACTGTCTCTGGGGAGCCCTTGGCTGATGATGAAGCACCAGGGATTTGGTTAAAAACACCCTGCAGCTCTCTTTAACACTCTTCTGTGCTTCTTGCTTGACTCCTTTCCTTTTCTGGAGGTCATCTTCCTTCTTTCTTGGGTGTATATGTACATGTGGATACACATTAATATATGTGCAGATGCACACATGTGTGCCTATACATATGGAAGCCAGAGGACAAACTCAGGTGTTACTCAACAGGAGCTGTCCACTTTGTTTTTGAGGCAGGGTCCCTCACAGGCCTGGAACTCACTAAGTAGGCTAGACTTGCTGGCCAGTCAGCATCAGGGATTCATCTGTCTTCACCTCCTGATGCTGGGTCATACCCCATGATGCCTGGATTTTCTGTGTGTGTACATGTACATATGTGTGGTGCATACATATGTATACACACACATATGAGGATGCACATGCCTGTACATGCACATGTAAAGGCCATAAATTGATGTTGGCTGTCTTCTTCAATTGTTCTCCACCTTATTTTTTTGAGGCAGCTTCCCTCACTGAACCTGAAGCTCCTTATTTTATTGATATTGACTGGCCAGAAAGCCATTTGGGATCCACCTGTCTCTGCTCCACCCTCAGCTTTGGAGTTAGAAAAATGCCACCACACTGGGCTTTTACGTGGGTGCTGAGAAGTCAAACTCAAGTCCTCATGCTTTAACAGCAAACACTCTACCTCCTAAGCCAACTTCACAGCCCACTGGCTTTTTTTTAACATAAGTTCTAGAGTTCAACCTTAGGTCCTCCGTATCCATGGCAATCACTTACCTGACTTAGCCATTTCCTAAGTCCCCAATTCCTTGTCACTTTTCTTATCCAGTGGTTGAATGCTTGGGGTAGATTGACTTTTTCATAGTCTTAGCTAAAGCATAATACATTGGGGAAAAAAATTTTGTAAGAAAAGTCACATGAGGGGGGCTGAAGAGATGGTTCAGTGGGTAAAGTGCTCGCCATAAAAATATGAAGATTTAAGTTTAGATCCCTGGCATCAACATAAAACCATATGTCTGTTGTGTGTAATCCCAACACTAGAGAAACAGAGACAGGCACATCCCAAGAGCTTACTAGCCAGCCAGTCTAGCTGTATCAGTGAGTTTGAAACTTTATCTCAAAAAATGAGGTGGAAAGCAATCGAGACCAACACCCAACATTGATACCTGACCTGCACACACACACACACACACACACACACACACACACACACTCACTCACTCATGCATCCACATGTACATGTACACACACACACAAACACATACATATACAGACATAACACACACAGAGCAAAAAAGAAGAAAGAAAAAATCACACATTAGGGACTGTGAAAATCACCTGTTGTTCATATTCTCTTAAGTCCAGGCCATTTGGAAGCTGGCTACCAGCAATGAGCACAGGGCTATGGAATAATGCAAGAAATAAACTGTGGTTGCCTGTGTGAGTTAGGGACAGCATTTGTTGTGTGAAAAGAGGCCAGTGACTCTCAGATGGAGCACCAAAGATATTCAGAAGGCAAAAGGAATCCTACAGGTAAATGAAAACACGTAACTCACACATGAGAAGTGAATCATGTTAGACCCTGCCAGAATTGACCTAAGTGTTCATAAATTGATGTGGCCCAAGGAACTTGCAAGTTACCTTTTAATCTGGGTTGATACTCCTCTTCCTTCTTACATTGGGTAATGGGAAAAAACATAGATTTGGAATCAGGTTTAGGAACTGTAGATTTGACTACATATGTGGTTTTCAGTGACATTTAATTTCTCTAAGCTTCATTCATTTTAAAAATGGTAGACTGACTAGATGTCAATGGATGGACTTGGGGAATGTATGGGGACACTGACTTGACACAATGGGTCATAACAGGGATGACTATATGGGTTCCAGTGAGGGTGCTATGGCAGGGGGACAGTGGGGACAGGGGTATAAAGATGATTAAGATTGATTGAGATGTTCTGCATGAAATACACAAAAATTCAATAAAAACAAACTTTAAAAAAATGGTAAAGAGGTGGGTGTGGTGGTGCATAATTTTAATCCCAGTACTTAGGAGGCAAAGGCAGATGGATCTCTGAAATCAAAACCAGCCTGGTCTACATAGGAAGTTCTGTGCCATTTGGGGCTACAGAGATACCCTGTGTCAAAAAAAAAAAAAAAGGAATCTATCAGTCTATCAAATAACACTATTATTCAGATGATAAAACTGAGGTTTAGAGAATTCAGATAATCTATCAAAAAATGACACAACTTAAAAGCTGACTTTGTAACCATCTATAGACCTTCCCAACTATTACCCATCAGTGTCATTTGTGTCCTAGAAAACATACTGTATAGCGATTAATTAAGAAATATTTATGGGTAAGAAATATTTACCTATGGGTAAAGTGTCTGTCAAGATCCCAGGCAACATGAAACTCCAGGTCCCAGAGAAGAAGCAGCATTTTCCAAAGATTCAAAGCACAAGACAAACTAAGGACACCTGAGGGATAGCTGGTGAGTAGGGTTTTGAATGGAACAGATAATAGTGATGAACCTACGTGTAAGTCATATTCACTTCTGGGAGGTGCACGTGGCAGCCAATCCCCTCCTCCCAACCGGGTCCTTCCTACAGTCTGAGGAAAAAATTCTCCAAACCCGGGTTTGAAGAATCTTAACGAGTTTATTGGACTTGCTAACTGAGCTTGGGGTGTGGGTTTACTTACAGACAAGCAGGTGCCGCCTCATTCACGGCTGTGCTGAAAGTCCACACCCAGGCATAAATCCTGTGGTTCCAGACAGCCTTACAAAATGGCGAGAGACCAGTCTTGTGGCTTTCCCAGCTTTTATACCCTTAGCCCGTCCCCTGCAAGCGGCTATGGTCAACAGATTGTCTGGAAGAGGAAAGGGGAGTGGCTTTGCAGAGCGTGGGAAGGAGGCGGGTCTATGGCTTGTCATCACAGGGTCAGAGGGACAGCCTCTGGGTCACACTAAGCGAACACCTGTAACCCCACACACCATCAGACCCAGCATGACAGGCTCTTCCTTCCACTATTGCTCAATCCAGGACTTCATGATGCGCCATCATTGTTTTTACTTCATTTATGCCTGTTCAACCCCACTATGATGATGTGATGGTGAAAAGTTAACAGAAAATGTCAACTTCCTTAAAAAATTAAGAATTTACTTCATAAAATGTGAGAGATTCAATACATTAGATTGGATACATAGTGCATTAGAATTCTGTATATTTAACTGAAATTCTCTACATCTTTTGTTTGAACTGTGTCACTTTTAAAAACCTCACCCCAGGGCTGGAGAGATGGCTCAGCAGTTAAGAATACTGACTGCTCTTGCAGAGGACCTGGGTTCATTTCCCAATACCCGCATGGTGGCTGGCAACCATCTGTAACTCCAGTTTCAGGAAATTCAATGCCCTCTTTTGACCTCCATGGGCATTGCAAGCCATGGGGCTCACTTACATACATACAGGCAATACACTTATGCACATAAAAAATAAATAAATAAAATATTCTTTAAAACCTCACCCCAAGACGATATGCTCAAGTCCTAGCCCCTAGTATCACATAAAAATACTTAATTTGGAAATAGAGGTGATGTGATGAAAAATTAGGGTGATTAGAGTAGATCCTAACTTAGTATGGCTGAAGTGCATATTGAAAGAGGAATTTAAGCACACATGAACATGCATAGAGGGAAAGACTATCAGGAGATAGCTATGTAGTAGAAGTAGCACCTGTAAATCAAGACACAAAGAATACTGATAAATGCCAGAAGTTAGATGACACAAAAGGCATTTTCCTATAGAGGAAACAGGTGGGGCACAGCACTGCCAATACCTGGATCTCAGGCTTCCTGCCTCCAGAATGGTAAGAGAGAACATGTCCATCATTTTAAGCTACCCAGTTTGTGGTACCTTGTTACAGCATCCTCACAGGACTACCACAAGTGCCTCCTCCATGTGCTGTCTTCACTTGTTAGTGAAAGATGTGTAGGGCTCCTAGGCTTCACAATAAACTCCAGAGAGATCTGTGGGTTCTCTCTTCCCAAGAGAACTTTTCTTGAAGATACCACTCTTCCCAGCCTCCTCCATCCAAATTGCTCGTATTTTTCACTGACAGAATTAACAGGGTCATTCCTAATCCCTAGCAAGATGCAGTAACTAGACTCACTGGCTTATATTACTCATATGGGAAGGAAAGAGTGTTTGACAGATGACTGAAAAATATTGTACAATAGCTAAACTCAAACCT